TTTTCAGCCATTTATCGCTGCTGAGCATCTGAGCTGGTTCCTTATCTTGGCTATTGTGAATAATGAACCAACAGAGGTAGATGTACAATTCTCTGTGATGTAATGACTTACAATTCTTTAGTTATATCCCCTAGTGTGCTATAACTGGGTCAAATGGTATTTCTATTCTTAATGTGTGTAACAATTATTGACTGACTAATTGATTTACTAGAGAGAAAGACAGACAGACAGAGAGAGAGAGAGAGAGAGAGAGAGAGAGAGAGAGAGAGAGACAGAGACAGAGAGACAGAGAGAGAGAATACCACAACACATTTGAAGGTCAGAGGACAACTTCAAGAAATCAGCCCTCTCCTTCATCGTGTGAATTCTGGAAATCTATCAGGTCACCAGACCTGGTGGCAAATGTTTTTACCCATTAAACATCTGGAAGAGACTTTAGTTCTCTTTCTAATTTTTGAGGAGCCATTCTCCATAGTGGTGACACCAGTTTACTTTCTCAACAGTAGTATGCCTTTCCCCGCATACTACTAGCACTTTTAATCCTGTTTTTTGGATGACCATTCTGACTGCCCTCCATCCTCTTTTATCCACTCCCTAGCATCACAAAATATTCACAGTGTGCCTATGCTGAGAACTGAGGGTGTTGAGTTACTCATCTGATATTTACATCATTTCTGTCCCACAGGTAAGAAAATACATTCAATAAAAAGCCCAAAGACTTACCAGTAGCATGGGCAAAGCCGGCAAATACATTTCCTTTTCTCCTAATCCTGCATCCTCTGCAAGTTGTGCTGACCAACATAACTGTGTCCTGTATGTGAACCCTCCTCAAACTGGTTCATTCTTAAGGTGTCCAGATCTGCTCTTCATCATACTTACAGTGTATTAGTTAGGTTCTCTAAGTGAACAGAACAGCTGTCCTCCTGAGGGAAAGGCCAAGAATCTGTAAGTTGTTCCATGACAGTAGATGCCTCAGCAGCCCCAATCTTGTACAGGTGTCTTGGGAGCTTCCTAGAGAGCTGCTGATCTTTAGTCTACATTGAACACTTGAAGTAGGTTCTAATCCCAGTGAAGGAATGCCTCAGCAACAGGATGGATGGACTTGCCGCAAGAGTGAGGGCAAGCAGAAGAAAAGCAAAACCTTCCTTCTTTCATACCCTTTTATATAGGCTGCCACCAAAAGGTGTGGCCCAGATTTAGGGTAGATCTTCCCTCCTCAGGTAATCCAATCAAGAAAATCCCTCACAGGCTTTGCAGATGGTTGTGTTTTAGTTTATTCCAAGTATAGTCAATTTGGGAACCATGATTAGCTGTCACACAGCCTACTGTAAATACCTTCCTCGGGCTGTTTGTCCTACCCCAGGGATCTCAGGTCCATGTACTCCAAACTCTCAAGAATTGTCCAGCATAGTATGCCATTAGTCTCAGCACTTGGGAGGCAGAAGCAGGTGGATCTCTGTATGTTTGAGGACACCCTGGTCTCCAGAGTGAATTAGAGGACTGACTGGAGGACTGACAGGGCTATGTATAGAGACCCTGTCTCAGAAAACCAAAACACACCAACAATCTCCCAAGAATACGACATCTCCCTTTCTTATTCTTGCTTCTAAGGGTTGTGTTGCTATGTCAGTGTGTCAACCAATAGATGCCTCAAAAGATGAATAGGGGCTGGAGAGATGGCTCAGAGATTAAGAGCACTGACTGCTCTTCCAGAGGTCCTGAGTTCAATTCCCAGCAACTACATGGTGGCTCACAACCATCTATAATGAGATCTGGTGCCCTCTTCCAGCCTGCAGGCATACATGCAGGCAGAACATTGTATACATAATAAATAAAATCTTTTTTAAAAAAAGATGAATAAATATAAATTTCTGTATTCATATAAATGGCTGGTAAAATTCTGACACAGTTGAATCACTTTAGTCCCTAGGTCCTTAACAGAAACCAAAATGTCACTCAAGAACTGGTGTCACCATGTGCTGGTGAGGAGGATTTGCAAGCCTTAGGAAAGACAATTTTGAGATAATAATATCCTTGAGCCTGTGACCCTTTGGTACACTTGCAGTAATAACTAATGCAAACAAGAAGTCCCAGAAAATACCAACTGAATAACTTGCAAATCTATGCTCTTCTTGGAGCTGGCAAATATGAACATGGGTATTGCCATATAATTTGCTTATAAATAGAACTGAAAACAGGGAAATGTATGTGGTCACAGTGCTCATATGCATGTGTGAAAAAATGTTACAATAAAATGTATTTGTTTGTATGATAGCTATATGTTAACAAGTAGTTGGAGTGGAGGGGCTAGTGAGATGGCTCAGTCAGTAAACAGCTTGCCATGCAAGTATAAGGATCTGAGCTCAAACTCCAGAACCCACATTTTAAAAAGATCAGGCGTATGCTAGTAATCCCAGTACTAGAGAGGACAGGAGAATCTCTGAGGCTCACTGAATTGGTGAGTTCAAGGGAAAAGTGAAAGACTCCATCTCAATGAATCAAGAGGAGCTGGAACCATGGCTCCGTGGTTAAGAGAACTCACTGCTCTTCTAAAGGAGCCAGATTTGATTTCAAGCACCCACATGGCAGCACACAACCATCCTCCATCCCAGGAGATCTGATGCCCTCTTGTGGCCTCTCAGAACACTGCAGATATGTGGTACACACACATACAGGTGAAACACCTAACAAATAATAACAAATAAAGTGAATGTAGGAATAATAAAAACTAATGAAGAAGATACCCAAGGACAAGCTCTGACCTCCACAATATATGCACATATGCTCACACACATGTGCTTGCACACACAAACACAGAGTGAGAATAGAAGGGATTGTGTCACCAATAGTCAGGAACTGTCACTGCCACTGGGATTCACCCCATGGCAAAGATTGGAGGATCATAGGTTGAGAAGAGTACATAGATGGGCAATGGCAGAAGAAGGAGACTTGCTGCTTAACAAGATGGGTGTGTGTCAGACAGAGAGCAACCCATAGTTATTACTACTCAACAAAGCAAAACCCATCCCATCTAACACATCAGCTGTCTGGAAGGAGCTGTCAATAAATAACACATAATAACTTAGACTTCACTTCTAATAAAATCATTGCTTCCATCTATGTGAGCCACTTAAAGTTTTAGTACAGTTCCAGTGTCCTAGCATTGGTAATGGTGGGAAATCTAATCCAGATATTTGCTAGATATAAGTTCAATGCAAAAACATATACTTTCCTCATTTAATGCTATTACTATCTGGGTATGTATGCACCTTCATGAGTGTACAGGTGCACAAATATGAAGAGGACAGAGAACTGCCTCTGGTGTCATTCCTCAGGGACTGTCTACCACCTTTTGTTCTTCAGACAAGGACTCTCAGTGGCCTAGAACTAATCAAATAGGCTAGGCTGGCCGACAAGTGAGCTGAGCCCCAGTAATCTAACAACTCTCCAGTGCTGGGATTACAAGTATACACCATATACCACCATACATAGCTTTTTTTTATTTGCATGGGTGTTGGGAATCAAATTCAGGTCCTCATGATTGCTCAAGTGAACTTATTAGTAACTGAGCCATCTCCAAACCTTAAGTATTCATCTTATAAACATGGTGTATTAGAGAGTGAGTTTTTCCAACCTTAGACTCTTTTTTGAAAGCAATTATATAAGGTCACCCAGGAGCCCATATGGAGTCTTTGCCAACAATGTGTATGTAGGTGTGTGTTTGTTTTTATATCTGTCTAGTGTGTTTGTGTGTGTCTCTGCTGTGTGTCTGTGTGTGTTTGCATGTGTGTGTGTTGTGTGTGTGTGTTGTGTGTGTGTGTGTGTGTTTGTGTGTGTCTGTGTGTTTTGTGTGTTTGTATGTGAGTTTGTGTATGTGTGTGCCTGTGTGTGTTTATGTGTGTTTGTGTGTAGCTGTGTGTTTTTGTGTGTGTGTCTGTGTTGTGTATTTGTGTGTGTTTGTGTGGGTGTCTCTATGTGTGTCTGTGTGTGTCTGTGTATATGAGTCTGTGTGTGTGTGTCTGTATTGTGTGTTTATGTGTGTTTGTGTATGTTTGTGCTATGTGTCTCTATGTGTATCTGTGTGTGTCTGTGTATATGTGTCTCTGTGTGTGTTTGTGTGTGTGTCTGTATGTGTCTATATGTGTCTTGTGTGTGTGTATGTCTGTGTGATTGTATGTGTGTCTGTGTGTATGTGTGTTTGTGACTGTGTGTGTCTGCTTGTGTCTATATGTATGTCTGTGTGTATGTTTGTGTGTGTGTTTCATATTTTAGACCACTTAGGTTCAATAACTCAAGTGCTCAGACTGGTGGGAGCATCACCAGACTCAATGGCTTTCATTAAAGCCAAGAGCTGTAAAAAGTCTCTGCCTCTTGTCACCTGTGCCTCTGATTTCACTGATGTGATTTTCAAGTTATTCTATCTCCCACTTCCTGTCTAGTCTTTTTTTAAGATATGCATCTCACACTTCTTATTGAATGGCCCCTTCTAAGTGTCAGCAAGGATCCCTCTTGTGAGCTGGAGTGACCCTTCATTCCTTGTGTATTGTTAGGTTGTGTTACTCCAGTAAGCACAAAAGCCTAGAAATTCATCATTACCTCTCTGGAAGTGGTTTGTGTAGTTCACCTTCTTAAAGCAAAAGATGCCAAGGAGGCATTATCAAGAAGATAGAGTGGTCTGGGGAGATAAGTCAACCAGTAAAGTGTTTGCCTTGAAAGCTATAGTTTAGTTCCCATAACCCATGTAAATAACTGGGCACAGTGGCATGTGTTTATCATTGCACTGTTAGGGAAACATAAACAGAATCGTGGAGCTTGCCAGTCACTCAGCCTAATCCAATATGCAAGTTCCAGGTTATTAGGAACCCCCTTCTCAAAAAGTACAAGGTGGAGAGCATCCTGAAGCTCCGCATATAGGCACACACACACACACACACACACACACACACACACACACAGTCGTGAAGAGAAGAGGAAGAAAAACCAAGGACAAGGAGAAGGACTATGAGCATCTTCCTGAGGCCAAGGATATTTATTCTGATATGACAGGGTGCTGGTAGAATGCAACTGTCTTTCTCAAACTTCTCGGCTTTGCTCTCATAATCTTCAGACATCTTCTCTTTCTTCAGGTATGTCACCTAAGTCTTCCTGATGTCTCAAACTATAAATGTGGTTCTTTACAGGGTTGACCGGAGTAGATTCTATCTTCTGAGGTGGGGGTCTTCGATAAACTTCCAGAATATTCATTCCTGTGACTGACACCTGATAGACACCCAAAGCAATCCTCTGTTAACAGATTGAATGAACCAGAATTAATTAGTCGAGTTCCCGGATGCTCCTTTTGCAGAGGTTTGTGGCTTCGTGATTAGCATTGCTTCTTAGCATTTGCATTTCGTTTAATGTACCGTTATTAATGAAAGACTGATTGAATGAGCCCTAATGTGATTGAATTCTGAATTAATGTATTTGAATAATTTATTGTTTTCATAATTCTGAGATAAGAGCACCAGTGGGATGGACTTCATGATCTCACCCCAATGCAATTCAAAATGATAAACCCATTTCACCTTCATACCCACTTAAATCTCTGTGAGAATATGCTTGTTGACTACAATAATTTTCCTTGGTGGTGACAGGTGGGTAAATTTTCTAGCTTTAGTCTGGGAAGTCTTATTTTTTCTAAGTCTTCAGATCTATCCTTCTGTGTTGGGAAAGACAGTGCATACAATTCAGTGAGCTGGTAAAGCTGTAATTCAGTACTGAGATGGTGTTCAAGGTGTGAAACTGCCTAAGACTCCCACAGCTCAAAGTCTTCAACTGAATTATGTTTTCAATCTGACCACTCCAGCCTCCTGTATATTTCTTCTATGTAAACAGCATTGAGAGTAGAATATATGAATTCCCTCTGCTTCCTGCTGCCATTCGATAAAGCATCTGTTTTGGGTTTCATTTTAAACAGATGGAAGTCAAGGAAAACAGAATTAGAATAATAATCCTAGGTGAATTGTGTTCAATTATCATTTCCATGACATGCTGTGCTTTGAGAAAGATTCATATACACATTGAGTTCCATAAACTGAAGTCAAGGGTGCTTCAAGCTTTAAATTGTTTGGTTTAGGCATTTTTACATTACAACATTAAGTTAATCAAACTTTAAAAAAATCATTACATCTTTGTAATGTCTCATGTGAGACAGACTGTGATGGTTAATTTTCATTGTCAACCTGACTGTTTAAGAATCATCTGATAGACACACCTCTGGGAACAGCCGGAACTACACAGAGAAACCTTGTCTCAAAAAGAGAAGAGAAGGAAGAAGAGTAGGAGGAAGAGGAAGAAGAAAGGAAGAGGAGTAGAAATAGAGAAAAACATTGCACTTTGAAAGTTACCTTTATGGACCACCTGCAAAGCTACTCAAAACCTCCTTTTGACATGACATAACTTTTGCTTTTTCAATTTGCTTTGTCTCTGTAAACCTATAACCTCTAGTGAAATAAAAGCTGTTATTAAGTCTCCCAACCAGGAAAATAAAAATAAAAAGTTCCAGGGCCACATGGTTTTAGCACAGAATTCCACTAGACTTTCAAAGAAGAGTTCACATCAATACTCCTCAAATTATTTCACAAAATAAAAAGAGAAGGAACATTGACAAATTTGTTTCATGAGGCCACAGTTATTCTGATTCCTACACCATGGAAAGACCCAATAAAGAAAGAGAATCACTGTAGGGAGACACCATAACCATACCTTCTAAGGACTGGCTACAGGTGTGCCTGACAATGCCTGCGAAGCCGTGGTCAGGGTGATGTGGGGAAGATTTAAGAATGAGGGGCGGGCACGTGGAAACCCCTTCTTCCTTTTCATCATCGGTTTGCTGTACTTACTCCATGCCCTGCCTGCTGGCTAGGTTGCTCTGTAAGTAAGGCATCTCCCTAATAAATAACCTTATATTTTTTTCTCTTTTTATTATTATTATTAATTCAAGTTAGGGAACAGGCTTGTTTCACATGTAAGTCCCCTCTCCCTCCCCCTCCCCTCACCCCCATCCCTCCTCCTCCATCTCCAACCTACCCCCCACCCCCTCCCCCCCGCGCCGGAATACCCTTATATTTTTACCTGACTCCATGTTGGTAATTCTCCCATTAAATCACAGACCAATTTCCCTTATGAACATAGATGCAAAAATACTCAATAAAATACTTACAAGCTGAATTCAAGAACACATCAAAGAGAATTCACCATGATCAAGTAGGCTTCATACCTGAGATGCAGTGATGATTCAACATACATAAATCAATTAATGTAGTCCACCATATAAAAAAAAAACTGAAAGACAAGAAAACACATGATCATATCATTCAGTACAGAAAAGGCCTTTGACAAAATCCATCACCCCTTCATGATAAAAGTCCTGGAGATATTAGGGATACAAAGGACAAACTTAAACATAATAAAGGCAGTTGACACAAAGCCCGTAGCCAACATCAAATTCAATGAAAGGAAAAATCAAAACAGTTCCACTAAAATCAGGAAGAAGACAAGGTTGCCCACTCTCTCCATACTTACTCAATACTTAGAGCAATGAAACAATTGAAGGAGATCAAAGGGATATAAATTGGAAAGGAAGTTAAAGTATCTTTATTTGCAGATAATATGAGAGTATAGATGAGTAACCCAAAAAAAAAAAATCCACAAGGAAACTTCTACAGCTGATAAACACTTTCAGGAGAAAAATCAACATTTCCCTATATATAAATGACAAATGAACCATGAAGGAGATATGAGAAACAACACCTTTCACAATTGCCTCAAATAATCTTGAGGTAACTGTAACTGAGTGAAAGACCTTTATGATAAAACTTCTATTCATTGAAGACAGTATCAGAAGACGGAAAGATCTCCCATGTTCATGGATCAATAGAATTAATATAGTGAAAATGGTCATCTTACCAAAATCAATCTACAGATTCAGTATAATCCCCATCAAAATTCCAACACAATTCTTCATAATCTTGAATGACAAGTTTCAGCTTCATATGAAAACACACAAAAAAAAAAAAAAACCTCAAGATGGCTAAAACAATCCTGAACAATGAAAGAACTGCTGGAGGTATCACCATCCCTGACCACAAGCTGTACTACACAGCTATAATGATAAAAAAAAAAAAAAAAAAATGTTACTGGCACCAAAACCGATATGTTAAACAATAGAATGGAATTGAAAATGTAGACATAAACCCACACATCTATGAATGCCTAACATTTTATAAAGAAGCCAGAAATACACACTGAAAAATAGACAGTCACTTCAACAAAATGGTGCTGATCGGGCTAGATGACTCTGTAGAAAACCCAATTTGAAATGAATCAAGGACCTCAACATAAAACAAAATATACAGAATACAGTGCAGAGGAACTTAGTCATGCCTCAACTTGAGATGTCATGCTTTGTTGACTCCCATGGGAGGCCTTACCCTCTCTGAGGAGTGGATGTGGGATAGAAAGGAGGTGGTGGAGACAATGGGAGGAGAGGAGGAAGAGGAAACTGTGGTTGGTATGTAAAATAAATTTAAAGCAGCAGGCTACAGAATGAGAAAAAAATTTCCCAACTACACATCTGATAGAGAGCTAATATCTGAGACAGATGAAGAACTTAAAACACTGAGTATCAAGAAAACAAATACCCCAATGTGGTGATATTTGTTTATGATCTAACAAAGCTTGCTTGAAGATCTGAGTGCAGAGCTAACCACACTAGTTAGCCATAGAGGCCAGGCAGTAGAAGCACAACACTTTGGGAGAGAGAGGCAGGTGTATCTCTTTGATTCCAAGGCCACCCTGAGCTACGCAAGATTGAATCTGTCTAAAAAGGAGAAACAGAACTCACACAAAAGTGATATCAGCACTTGGGATCACATGCCTTTAATCCCAGCACTGGAGAGATAGAGACAGGAGAGAAACGCCTGGGCAGAGAGAGTAATTTAAGGCAAGAGGAGACAGGAGCTCAATGCAACCTGAGTGCTGTCAGTCTGAGGAAGCAGTCTGAGGACAGGATCGCCCCTTTGGTCTGAGCACAGGTGACCTTTCTGTTTTTCTCATGCTTCAGCTTTTACCCCCTGATAGCTGACTCTGGGTTTTGATTACTAAGAACAATTAGAATTCATGCAACACCCCAATTTTAAAATGGGGTAAAAAACAGAAACAGAATTCCCAAAAGAGGAAACTCATTCAAGTGCCCAGAAACATGTAAAGAAATGCTCAACAACCTGAGTCACCAGAGAACTGTAAATCAAAATTACTTAGTGGTTTCATCTTACGCCAGTCAGAATGGCTAAGATCAACAAAACAAATGACAACTCATGCTGACAAGGATGTAGAGTTGGGGGAACACTCATTCATTGACTGTGGGAGTGCAAACCAGTACAGCCACTATGTAAATCAGTGTGGTGGTTCCTCAGGAAGATGGGAATAGATCTACCTCAAGATTCAGCTATACCACTCTTGTGCATACACCCAAAGGATGCTTCATCCTACTGTAGAGGTAGATGCTTCATCCTAACTGTAGAGGTAGGTGATTTATCCTACTGCTCAACCATGTTCATTGTTGCTCTGTTTATAATATCTAGAAGTCATAAAAAAATCTAGAGGTCTTCCAACAAATGAATAGGTAAATAAAACGTGGCACATACATACATGGGATGCTATTCAGAAGCTAAGAATGAATGACATCATAAAATTTGCAGGCATTGAGATGAAACTAGAAAAAAGGAGTTAATCCAGACCAAGACAAATATGGTATGTATTCATTTATATGTGTTTTAGCTCTTAAGTCATTGATAAGCAAACTATAGTTCATTGAACTAAAGAGATTAGGTATAGAATAAGGAACTAATGGGGGACAGATATCCATAGGAAAGGGAAAGAAAATAGATAGTTATGGATGGATGAGGGGCTAGAACAAGAGGATGAAGTGGGAGGGGGAAAGGAAGAGTGGAAAAAGGAAGAAAATATGGAAAGAAACAGCTAAAATAAAGGATATCCCATTTGAGGGATATAGTACAGAAACCTAATACAGAAGAAACTTCCTAAAATATGTACACATATGAAGGTAATCTAAATGAAATCACCAAATAAGTGTCAAGAAAAAACCCAAATGGCTATCTCTTATCACCAAATGAAGCTTCCAGCACCAGGATTGGGTTATATCTAATTGAGTTGTTAGCTAAAGGGTCCTCAGGGGAATCACCAAACAAGCTATTGCCAATGTCATAGGTTACTCTCCACAAACTGACAGCAAGGTGCTTTTGCAGAAGACAAGAGCTACACAACTCATTGAACATGGAGAAGTTGAGCTGGTATCTATACAGAGCCTTAACCCACTACAGCAATAAAACGGCTCCTAATGAAACTGTGATACATTCATAGATACTGATGATACTTTGCTCAGCTATCATCAGAAAAGCTTTCTTCTGCAGCAGATGGAAACAGATACAGTGTCCCACAGCCAGACAACATGCAGAAAGTCGGAGACCTTGGAACACTCAGTCCTAAATAGGATGTTTCCCTCAAATCCCTTCCCTCGGGTCCTGGGGTACTCTGCAGAAGTGAGGTGGAAAGTTTTAAGAGCCAGAGAGGATTAGAACATTAGTGTGCAGCCATCCCCACATCCATCAGTAGATCCTTCATATCCCAAGATTGAAACTATGGACACATTAAGCAATAGTCCCACCACATTCCTTCCCACAGTTCCTGGCAACCACTGTTCTACTCTGTTTTCTTAAGGTCACTGGTAAAGGCCTCTTTGTTTGCTCCTCCTTTCTGAAGTTATCCCAAGAGAATAAGAACAAAAGTCAGAAAGCGCACCTGATCAGTGTAAATGCAAGTAATGCCCCTGGACGATGCTCTTTAAAATGGCATGTGTGTGGTATGTGTATATTTTAAAAGAAACAAAATTAAGTAAATGAATAACACATAATTGCATGGATGTAGACACAGAAGCAGTGCCAGCCCTTGAGGATTCTACACTGTCAAGGATGATGTGCCCTGGGAGTTCTGATGTTGTGCTGTGTGGTTCTGAGACTGTCCCTTGGGAGTCTCAAGTTCACCAGCACGGAAACAGAATGGGAATGATATTTGTCAATGTATCTCACATCCAGGGCTTTATGACCTTGCTGCTTCATATTGCATCCTAAAGGGCAGGATTTAGACCTCTTCCTCCTGTCTCTTAACCCCCTTTCTCCTTCCATGTATACATATGCATACATATGTATATGCATAAGCATGTATATTTATATATGCAGTCCCCATGTGAGACAAAACATTTGATATTTATCTTGTAAGTCTGGCTTATTCCACTTAGTACAATTTCTCCAGTTCCACCCATTTTCCTGCAAATGTTGAATGATTTCAGGCATTAAATGTATCTGCACCACGTTTCTTTATCCATTCAGCTGTTGATAGACATCCAAGCTGGTTTCTTATCTTATTTATCATTATGAATGATACAGCAATAAATATGGCAAGGCAAGTATCTCTGTGATATGCTGACTTAGAGTTTTTCAGGCACACAACCAGGTGTGGCACGGCTGGATCATATCTAAAAACAAGGAGAATTGGAAAGCAACACAGGGTAATATAATATGTATGATGTTTTTTCTAAAAGAGAAATTGGGGCCTATGGGGTGAATGAAGGTATTCAAGCTTGATTTCTGCTGCGGTGATAAAATATCCTAACTAAAAACAACTAGGTTAAAAAAAAAAAAAGGATGGGGTGGCACTGCCAGACACCCTGGGGGAGAGAGCCACAGGTCTACCCAGATGGTTGCCACTGTGATGAACAGGTGTACAATGGAGACATGGGAGAGAAGGAGGAGCAGAGTGGTTCCTGCACTGTAGAGAGAAGCAGTACTGAAGACATGATGAAAGTGAGGAATAGCCTGATATGGGTTATCTATGCTGCCACCTGAGGCTATGTGATGTCCTGACCTGTGCTGCAGCTGAGGGTCATGTCTGGGTCCATGGCCACACTGCAGCTTGGGATCTGTGTTGATGTCGGTGCCCTGAATTGCCACTGAGGGCTATTCAGATGCCCATGGTCTGGACTGCCACCTGATGCAATGTTGGTGCCTGAGTGTCAGTCTGCCACCAGGGCCATACTAGTGTGGGTGGCCTGTGTGTCCGTGGCCCTAACAAAGCCAGGGTTGGTGTTGATGTCCATGTCCCATGTTACCAACAGGGGCTATGAAAGAGCTGGTGGCCTGGTAGCCTGGGCACCAGAGAACTGGTCCTGCCCTTCACCCACCACCTTAGCATGAGAACTTCCCC